TATGGCAAAAATTGTTTTAAAAGGTGAAATCAGGCACCCGACCGCCCTCTTATGCTACATAGTTCACATAATTTCAATAAACAACATGTAAAAGTGCTAGCAACACTTTTTCGTTACATCTTAATATAATAGTCAACTACAGTACATGTTTTATTATAACTCATAATTTAACAACAACAACGGCACAACAGTCAGGATCTTGTACGAGAGGAAGAACACGTTAGTTGACTATATCACAGAGATTAATACTTACTTATTAATATTTAAGTTTCGTGAATTAATCCATTCGTATGTTGACTATAGTTGTCAAGATCAGAGACCTGCATTGTGATAGCATGAATGAAAAACAACACATATCATTTATTTCCTTTTTTTGCGCTCCATTGAAGGGCTTGGTGGGCGAACAATCGAGATAAATGAACGGAAGAGTTCTAGCGAACGACCCTGAAACAAAAAAGAAAGCATTTTGCGCGAGTTTTTTCTTTAGAAAAAGAGAATCTCAGCTGTTGGTAAAATAACATAGTAGAGAAATATTGAATGATGATCATAAAAAGTAAGGAACGGTTTTTGTACCCACAATCTCCAGAAAGAAAGCAGAGAGAAATCAAAAGGAGAGAAACACAATAAAGTGATTTGGACTCTTGAAAATAAAAAAGTGACACAGAAAGTGGGATGAGAAGAAAAAGAGAAAATTTTTAAACTGAATGCTTTTACTATGCACCTGATATACACGCAACGTTTAAATGCAATCTGAATGCGATTTGTCCCACAAGGGAAAGTCGGTGTCATCTGGTTGGATAATATCATTGCATTTTCGAGACTGTATAATTTGCAATTACATTAATTATTGTGAAAATATTTAACTCGTAAATGAAAAAAAAATGGAAAAAAGGCGACACCATTCAAAAATTAAACAAAAACCTGCTCATCGGGAAGAAAAAGTTAAACGATGCTTAAGAAGGCTGAGAAAGTTGCGCTCCTAAAAAATATTATTTCTTGGAAATGAAGGAAATGCCAAAGAAGCAGCGATTTTGATAATTCGTAAAGCAGAGGTATAACAGGAAAGAAAGGATAAGCGTGCTGCAAAAAGATGAATAGATGGACATCGACATAAATTATTCCTAAGCACACATGCGATTGTCTACTACGCCCTGTTCGGAAAATGCAAAAGCGGAAGTAAGAAAGTCTTAGCCATAATCATGAGATAGTGAGAAGCGAAAACGAAAGAAGATCTGAAGCAAGTATGCGGTGTTTAGGATAAGAGTTGCAGATATAAAAATTTAATTTGAGCGTTGTAGCGTCAGGACAAGCAAAATGAACAATAAAATCGACTCTCTATTACCTGATTGAAGAAAATTAAAGCCAGAAGCCCAAAGAACGGCAATGCTAACAACGATCCAGCGCTAATTTCTACTTCTCCAGATCGTTTCGATGATGTAATTGGTATGCGTACCACCCGTACTGGTGCATCCGTCGTGAAGAACACTGTAAATAAAGGTTAATTACCATTAGTAATTCTCACACATAAATAGTACCTGTCTTTGCTGGGAATGTTTGATGTTGTCGATCTGGCTCAACTCTCACTGAGTACTCTCTTCCATCACGTGGTAAGTTATTCAGATAGAACACAGTAACTGGAGCATGTACAACGGATTGAGTGATCGTTTCACCTTCTCGTTGAACAGATACTCGGTAAGATGGAGGTATACTCATCGTGCCAAATTCCATCTGACATGAATGAAATTCAAAAACTTTGAACTACTAAAGTACCTCTTTACCTCAACAGCCAAGTCCGTGCTCATATCGTAAGGGGCTGCTACCATGTCGAGTCCTTTCAGGTCTTCAGCAGTCATACGAACTTCGAATTGTGAAGGGAAACAGTGTGGAGCTGCAGCACCATCTGCTCCAGCTGAAATTGCGGTTTTGATTAACTGATTACCCGAGTTCACGGGTTTGTACTTTTGTAGCAAAAAAAGAACTGCCCAAAAAATTACTACCCAAACCTTACGCATATTTCCTTAATCAAACTTTTCAAAGAAAAATGCAATCTGCAAATCTAAGAGATACATCAAGCAGTCAACCCAAAAAATGCGCAATTACGATGCTCATTTCATCATGCTGCTGAAAATTGTTTCTTTAATAATTAGCAGAAGAACAATCTCTTCACGTATTATTATTAGGATCAAAAATGTAGCCTGCAACAATACCACATGCTTCAATCGCTGCGACAAGATAAAGCTTTATAAACAAATAAATCCCAAAGCACAAAGAACTGAGTAACTCAAGATCAAGCTTAAAAGTGA